CCAAGATGTATTTGGGTTCTATCAATTTTGGGATGCTTAAAACTTAGTTTTGATGGCTCCTCATTTGGCAATCCAGGGAAGGCGTGGGTGGTGTATGTAGAGAAAGAGAGGGTAATATTTTTTTTTGCTATGTTGCACCTTGTGGAGAGGTAACAGCCAATCATGCGGAAATGGCAGTGTTGTTGCATGGTGTGATAATTTGGAAGGAGAAAGGTTCCCTGCATGGTGTGATAATTTGGAAGGAGAAAGGTTTGGGGAAGGAGAAAGGTTTGGGGAATGTATCAATGTTATTAATTTGTGCAGTTATTGTTGAGGATTGATGTCTTGTATTTTTAAGGAAAAATATCTACAAAAAGTGGAGTTAAAGAGACGACTCTGGAGAGCCGTTAAAAGCCCTAAGGGCTGAAGGCCTGAGGGAAATTTTTATATCCGTACATAGGGTATTTCAGTAATTTGTATCGTTTATCTAGGACTCGATATATATTGTTGCGATGGTGGTCATTTAGGATTAAAAGGGAAAAACACAATTTTTTTTGGAATCAGAAAGAACAGAGAGGCGTGAGGAAGAGAGTTATTGTAACCCTATTTTCCATTACCAGTAAAGAAGCTCTCATCTCCCGTAGACGTAGGCACGTTGCCGAACCGCGTATATAGTTGTGTTATTGTTGGTTGTTTCTTTCTTTTATGTTTGTTTCTTCTTTCTTATTTTCATAGATTGTTTTTAGGGTTTTCTACAGTTGTGTGTCTAGACCTCATTCACGTTTACGATTTGTATGGCTGAAATTTATGGATCTCTCTTTTGGAAGCAATTTTAGCTTCAATCATGTATACAGAGAAGCGAATCCTGTTATGGACGACTGGGCTAAGAAAGGAGAGCTTCTTTAGACTCGGTAGTTGTATCTTCTCATTTATTTTAACTCTATCATTGAAATAGTTCAGTTGATTTAATAATATTCAGTATTTTTGCAAAAAAAAAAAATCCTTAGAGTCACCTCCGTCATATCCCACATATTTTATACATATCACCTTCTAGTCTTGAAGAATTTCACCCACAAATCCGTTAAGCCTCCATTGACCAATCCACAACCTCTCCAATTCCGAGAAAGCCACTACAAAACTAATTTATTCATTTCCCACTCTCCAACTATAGTATAAACAAAGTTAGAGATTTCTTGAGTTTTAACCCCTTAGACCTCCCTTGAACTTATATTTGTTTGTAATGGTTCAAGTGGAGATTAACAACCACTTGTGCCACCCTCGATAAGATGAATTCATACCTAGATTTAAAGGTTGAAAAAATCAAAATCATCTCATATTTACAATAAACTCTTACCTAACTAGGCTGGCCCATTGCCAACCCTAGGCTGGGGCCCTTTATAGAATCTGTAGGGGTGGCCCATGCCTGTATTTAAGGCATGTTACTTTATCATGAGGGGATAGATCTACCTAGGCTCGGCCCATTACACCTACGCTTCACAGTAATCTAACAAAGCTTCGCAATGATCTAACAAAGCTTCACAGGGGTTAGGCTTCTGGCTCTAGTATGAGCGGAATAGAAGAGAGAAAAGAATGATGAGAGAGAGAGAAAGAGAGAGGAATTGATTAGATAGAAAAAGACAAATTTGAAAGAGAAAGGAGTTGAACAAAGAAGAAAGACCCTGAGAGATAGAGCAATGAGTTGAAAAGAGAAGGGCCACATTTAGAGAAATAAATGCTAGGAAATCAAAATCCTTATATCCGACAAGACTAGATGTAATAAACTCTTAACTAACCATGCTCGCACATTATCAGCCCAAGGTTGGGAACCTTCATAGGACTTGTAGGGGTAGGTCATGCTTGTATTTAAGGCCTATTAGCTTAACAAAAGGTGACGGACCTGCCTAGGTGTTTATATGTGATTCTGAAAATGACCAAACTAATCAAAGTTCGATCTGTCCGAGATCGTATCCAAACTTAATATTTAAAAGAGTCGAAAATAGTGGTTTCTGTCAAACTCAAATTTACAGAGAAATAAATCTAAAAGACTTGTTCTTTGCAAAATCTGCGGTCGAGACGGCTTAGTTTGTGTGAAATCTGAAAGAAACGACAACAAGAGGAACACAAATAAAGAGGAAACAAGGACAATAAATTTATTGAAGCAAATGAAAATAAATAATGAAAAAAAACTAAAGAAAATAATAGAGCAAATAAATTATAAAGGAACATAGAAATGAAAAACTAAATAAGAGGATAAAGATGATCATCAATAAAGTAAAGAGAACAATGAAAAAAACAAGAATATCATATCTAATGAAGAAAATAAATAAATAAATAAATATATAATAATAAAAAATTGAAACAAAAGACAGAAAGAGAAAATTGAAACAAAAGACCGAAAGAGCTTGAAACACCTGACCCTTAGGCCAGCACTTGGAGTTGGGCTTGGCTCAGATGACAAAGATGAAGTTCTTATTCCTTGATCTTGGAGAATGATGATCCTAAATGATTGATTGCACCCTAAGGAAGAGAAGAATATTTTACATTTAGGGTTTTAAATGACTAAAAATAGTTTGTTTTTATCTCTGAAATTGGTTGGAGCAATTTCTAAATCTAGTGTTTGAATGGCTTAAGTCTAGGTTTAGGTTGCAGTTTCCTATGAATGGGGAATTAGGGTTTCATTTGTAGGTCCTCCAAATCAGCTGGAAAATGTTTTATTTAAAGACATGAATGTCCCAAAATAGGAAGGCGGTGAATCTGGATAAATTAGGGGGTGACATGGTTAGAAAGAGAGATCATGGTTAGAAAGGAAAAGAGTAAAAGAGACAAAAAGTATAGATAGAGGAGAGTTAGAGATAGGGGAGGGCGATTATATTGGAAAATCTATTTGAAGTTACAATGCCGGACTTAGTTTTGGCATGGCAAATAAGGCTGATTGCACGCACTCAAAGAAGTGGTCGTTCAACTGCAATGTAATCATCAAAGAGTAATAGTAGAGGGTGATATGGAAAATGTAATTCAATGGTGTCTCAAAGCCAAGAATGTCCCTAGAGGAGAGTAGCCCACGCTTTCCTTTAGAGGGCAGAAGTTTTTAGTTTTTCTTTATATGGGCTCAGTCTATAACACATTTTTATAGCAACTCAAGCCAAGTGAACACTAAAAAAAAAAGAAGAAGAAGAAGAGAGAGAGAATGGGCTGCCATGATTAGAGAGAGTGTGTGCATTGAACTTCCTTAACCTTCTAGTAAATTATTAAACACTCCCATCCAAAACTTCCTTACAATAACTTTCTTTCGATTGTTTTAAAAAAAAGTGTCGTTTGTATATGGTTGCAACCTTCAACAATCAAATTAAGGTGCACCTCTAAATTTATATGTACTTTTATTATTCAAAATATTTAGGATGTCTTGAAAATCTATTTTCATCTCTAATTATAAAATTTTAAATTCTAAAAATGATTCAAATCAAGTAGATCTATTAACATATAAAAATCATGAAAATGGATGGACGAGATAATTTGTTGTAAAATTATACTAGTTTTAGGACTCAAAATCCTTTTAT